ATACTTTGGCATTGAGCGATTGCGCGTATACAGTTTGGCATTGCTAGCTTCACTCTAGCTCCACTGAAGCTTGTATATCTTTATATTTCCCGAGTAATCCTTTATATATCGGTTAAACACTTGCATGTCTGGTGATAAAATCCTAAATAAGCCATATCTTGGCAGTGAATACTCTATACGGTTGTATAGAATATTCATGCATCATACAATATATATATATATATATATATATATATATATATATATATATATATATATATATATATATATATATTGTGATCATCCTCGTTCTTCAAAAACCACTCTGCAATACTCTGCCAAAAACCACTCAAAAACCACTCTGCACTCTACTTCGATCTATTTTTCTAAGGCTATAAATTAAGTAAATTTTCGACTAAAAATCAATATTTCCTTTGCGTTTCCTCGACGAAAGCCGTGAACAAAAGCGTGTATATTAAATAGGCCGTATTCTGTGGCACGAAAAGTCGCTTTAATAGGAAACGAATTCCGTTGCCCGCATAGGCGTACGAGGCGGGGGGGGGGGGGTTGTGGGGCGCCCCCCAGTTTAGTCAGAAATATTCATTAGTCGGGCAATTTGTACTCAAGAGTCGGGCAATTTTCCTGTGTACTGAATAATCAATTTGGTCTTTCCAACAAACAAATGTTATTAATAGTAAAAATGCGAAATATTTAAAAACTAGAATATATGCTTGCATAACGGTGACAAAAATAATTAAAATAAACATGCTTTTCCATTCGCACCACTGGCTATGTATACCATAACTGATTGGTGGGAGCGCTAACTAGCGCTAAACAGACATCACCCCAACGAATCCTGAAGTTAGTTTTTCATTTTAAAGAAAATCATATATTGTAGCTGTTAATTGTAACGTTGTTCAACATGTAGTTATGAAAGACTGCTAGCGTATGTCAGCGTATGAAAAATATCACTCATACGCTGGTATACGCTGACATACGTTTCAAGCACGGTCGCATACGATGGTATACGCTGGCATACGGCGAGGCTGGGCGAGATAGAAAAAATATTTTAAGCAGGCTTAAACATTTTGGGCGTATTCGGACGTATTGTTTATACGATAAGCTTGCTCTAGGCACACGCTGAATACGCTAGAAGTACGCCAGATGTACGGTACTCATACACTGGCATTTCAATGGATGGACTCCAGTCTTCTATAAAGCAAATTCCATCTTAGCCCGCGTGCAGGCCCAAGGGAACTGATAGTGGGCCTGCAAGCAAGGCCCGCTATTTTGTACTTTCCGTGTTAGCCCACGAACGCGGCATTCTGATTGGCTGTTTGCTGTTGGATTCTATAATTAGGTCAGTGATTCATCACAAAGGCATAGACAAAGGCTTCAAATTCGAAAATTGATCACTTTTTTCGATTACAAATGGAACAAGAACAGACTGTTTATTGTTTACTTGAAGGAAGAGATGTTTTTGCCGTTATGCCAATGGGGATTGCTTGTCGTGAGGTGTTGGAATAGCAACGTCACGACTGGGGTAAACTATAGTAACCACTACTTGAGTTTCATTAATTTCAAACAGACTTGATACGTTATATGTTCCTCAAAAAAATGATCTTTTGGTTGATGTTGAGGTGCAGTTGCATGTAAGCCTATTCAAAACACTTTGCGATTTACAAGGCTTCGCTGAGAGAGCGAAACAGAAGACGGCATTAAATTGCCGTTTGAAACGAAACGATCTGGACTCTGAACGCTCTCTTCTTTTGTAGAGTTCTTTACCAAATGAAATAACTGAAATAAATTTCGTACTTTTCGCGCCGCCAACAAGAATTGCACACACGATCTGATAAGTGAGACATTTTTTTTATAAAAATAGCGACAAAGCCCACATTATAAATGCTGATGTGGTCGCACGACTTCCGTCACGATTTGAACTTTGAGACTGGTTTTCAGTTGAAATTCGTCTTAATTTGCCTGTTCCGATTTTAGTTGAAAATGAGCACCGGCAAATTTGGCAATTACTGACGGCGTTGCTTGCTTTTTTGGAGTTAAAACGCAGCCATTTAGACATTGTTTATGTTCTGAATGAGCAGAGAAAAGCCCGCAACATTTTAATGCGAGTTTGTTTGTTAATATTTGGGTGCTGTCATTGGTTCTTTTTTGACAATTGACGCGCGAATGGGGCGTGTTATGAAAAGGGGCGTTTTACAAAATACCGGGCCTTGCTTGCAGGCCCACTATCAGTTCCCTTGGGCCTGCACGCGGGCTAATTCCATCTTGGCAACGATTCCAACTACGTCGTTGATGTTCTGCAGAGAGATCTTTCAGTGGGTAACGAAGGGTGAGGACGTACCTTTGTTCCACAATGGGTCAAGAATTTCTCTTCTCTGTATGGAACGAGCATACACTAATAGAACACGGCTCGAGAATGATATGGACAGAATCATTGATGTTTTTGGCCAACAAAGTCACCCTGCCTTACATTTCTTTTGACAGTATACATAATATAATACACGGGATAAACTTGTAGGGGAGATTAGGTTAGGTTTTCGGTAAAAGTTACATTCATGATATTAAAATAGTCATAATAATAATAATAATAATAATACTTTATTCACCTCATTTAGTTAATTACAATTGATATTTTGATAGTCCAGATATATATTCATTGAAAGAGAAAGAGGATCAAATATTTGTTAAGGTAGCTAAGTAAACTAAAGTTTTCTAGTTAGCTCCAGCTATAGTAAGATAATAAAATTATTGCAGCGACACAAAATACAACACTCACACAGACAATACAAAAACAAACTTTGGCAGTCAATAGCCTAATTGCTATATTTTTCTTAATTCTTTTTTAGCAAAAATTGTTTTACTTTTCTTGAAAACGCGAAATTTGGGAAATCTTTTAGGTGACAAGGTAACTCTTGACAGAGATCAACCGCTATGGAAGATACAGACTGTTTTCCAATATTAGTTCTAGTTCGAGGTTTATAAAAATTCTTTCTGGTGGCATACCTCGTATTATATGAATGGACATCACAAGCAAACTGAAAATAGTCATGAAAAATATCCGGTAATTCATTTCTTTGCCATAAATAAGCAAACTTAAGAATTTGCAATTTATATAGTGATTCGACATCGAGAATATCTAATAATCTCATAAACGGAAAGGCACTTTCTGTATTCTGTCCATACGTTATAGCAAAGAATATAACCCTTATTACTGTATTCTGTTTTATTTGAACTTTTTTTATTTGCGTTTTATAGGTACTTCCCCATGCCAATATGGTAAATAAGGTTGTAATATAGTTGTTTAAGTTGAGCTAAAGTCATATAATGTCTTAATTTGTAAAAAATACCAATATTGCGAGCCAATCTAGAACAAATATACGCTATATGATACTTCCATGAGAGTTTTTCGTCAATTAACACTCCTAAATACTTAATATGATCTTTTCTTTCAAGGCAATCTGATTGGCTAATTCTTCCATGAGAGTTTTTCGTCAATTAACACTCCTAAATACTTAATATGATCTTTTCTTTCAAGGCAATCTGATTGGCTAATACTTCGGAATTAGGCGGAAATCAGATCGTCGGTTCAATATCGGATAATATTCGGAGGTTTTCCGTTTGATAATCGGTTCAATATCGTCATGTTCTACTCGGAACGAATGTAAACATTGCGAAATCGATGTTTATTAGTATTTGTTCAGTTATATGTATGGAAATAAATAAATATATATCTTAATAACGCCCATACAGCAATTTGCAGTATGAAAATATTATATCTAGAAATTCTAACAAGAGTTAGCCTGAAATATGAATAAATAGCCTAACAATAATATAGACAATAGAGTGCGTGTGGACCGATAAAAATTTGACAGTTGCCGAACAAATCATCATCGTGTAACATTATTCGTACATTCTAATTTCATCAGTACTGCACGGAATATAATATAGAGACGTATATTAAATCACTTTCTATTGTTAAACTGTGGTTATTATTTTAAAAAACTGCGAAAATTGACACCAGCGAATTGCGAATATGAACACCCGCGTGCAGGCCTGCTTGTATACTTTTCGCGCGAAACGGCGGGAACTTACGAAATCATCCGTCCATAACACTGGTCCATAATCGTTTAGCCGTTCACTGCAATAATTTGCATAAATTGTAAGGACAATCACAGCTGTTTTGCATTAATCTACTCCCGTGTCTTCAAATAACTAAAGGTAAGACTAATTTATCATAAATTATGAACATAATTGCTTCGAATTCTTACAGAAATTCCCACATACATATCGGTAAATTGTTAATTCAAATGCATATTAAAGAAACATTTAGAGTAGTGCACGCAAAAACAGAGACAATTTGGTCCTTAGATCATGAGCTTTCTAACACCCATGCATTTCTACATACATACCATGCGAACCATACGCACGTTCAATGACGTCACAATACAAGTTTTCAATGGCGGAAAATTGACGAATTTTCGGAAGTTTTGACCTAAAAGAGGGCTAAAAACAACCTTTTCGAGTGCGAGTAGGTGAGGGGGGTTGTCGGAAATTTGAAAGTTTTGTCGGAGCTTTAGGAGGCTTTGCCCCCCCCCCATCCCCCTCCTCACACCCCCCTCCTCTGGCCGGAGAAAGTGAATTTCCGCCACTGCAAGTTTTAAACACGGTACCAACTACTATGCCATATCACACGAAAGCGAGGCTGAGGAGACAATATAGCAACAATAATGAAGAAACCTTGCTTTTATGTTGTACCACATAATTTTCGGGAACACTATTGTTGGAAATATGCCAACGATCTTGTTAAAGACAATAGCATATTGTTTGATACATTCTTTTAATTGCAGTCATCTCATAATATTTTTGTGTGGAAAGGTGCCTGGAAGGGAAGTATATCTATCCACATCTTGCATTATCATGGCAGAGGTAAATACATTAAAGTCATATAAATATAAGTACACATTTACGTCGAACTTTAATAACAAAAATGTCCACATAAAGATATGATTAAGAAAAGTAAGGTACACATATAGTAGACATACTAGCAAAAGTCAACTATACAGTTTATATTTTTCTTATGTTTATGTTTTCTGAAGATCCTATTCGCGAAGCAGAATAGCGTCTTATTAAGTCAGATTGACTTGGCAAACCTCACCAGGCTACAGGCATTCCGTATACAGTATCCACATGTTATGAGGCCAAAGGGAGTTCAAATCCAACAGGCCAAAAACACGAATCCGATTGATTGTTGTGGAAGAGAAGAAGTTGGACGTGAGATACCCCCACAATCATGCCTTCAATCGTGGAAAAAACAAATCACGGAATTAAAAAAAATTCACCCAGATAGCACAGCCTACGTACAGTGTCAAATGAACACCGAAACGAAGTATGATGTCCAGAAGATAAATGAACTTCTTCGAGTTCATAAAGCCATGGAGATCAAGCAAGAAGTCTCACGAGAGCTAGATTGGTTTGCAGATGTGACAAACTGTCCTACTAACGTGGTAAGTCAGCCTGACCAAAATGATATCAAAAACTTCCAGAGCTTAATTTATTCGAAGGGGACCACACGGTCACCGGTGTCTCTCATCTTGTGCCCCTCACTATCCGCTACAACGGTGTGGCAGCGTATGCGGTGTTGTTGTTATGGTTGTGGCAGCTATCGCATGCCTTGCAAATGATTTCTTTCATCAGCTGACCAAGAAAATGTACCATGTACCACAGTGTTTTACTTTTCTCAGTGACCCTACGAAATCCGCCTGGTGTTAATGTCATGGTTTGGAGCACAATCCGTTTTTCTGTCGAATGTCTTGCCCAAGTTTGATGCCAATATGGAAACTCCTATAAAACTACAACCAGACACCAAATCATTAAATGTAAATAACAAAGACGAGAAGGAAAAAGAGGAAGAGAAGAAAGAAGAAAAGAAAGAAGAAAGAAAGGAAGAGAAGAAAGAAATGAAGAAAGTAAAGATAGAAATAAAGAAAGAAGAGAAGAAATGTCAAAAGAAACGAAACACGTTTTTGAATGGTTTTAAAAGTCATTCGTCGAAAGTTGCAAAACCTCTTCAAACAAAGAAAGGTGTCCACAAATGGGAATGTCAATATTACGACCTTACCTGGAATGATAAATCGAACCTGAATCGCCACATCAGACGGAAACATAAAGAAAACCAAATCAAAGTGAATGGTGGTTCCACAGACGTTGGATCAGGCGGAAGGTGTGCATGCACTCAATGTGGTTATTCCTGTCGCAGGATTGTCGAATTTCGTGAACACCTGTCGAAGGCGCACAATGTAATATTCAGAACCGAAAACATCAAGCTACAAAACTATCAAGGTGTGTAATATATACATCCTATTTTCGACTATATACATCCCATTTATATTATCGAGGTAAACACTTGTGTTTTAAAATCCCAATCATTTACAATCATATTTGGTAATTGGTGGCTGTTTTTATAATTTTTCAGAATTTCAAGCATGGAAGGAGTCTTTAGAAGATAGTGAAGACTGTTTGTTTATCAAGAACACCGGGGCCAAACGATTAGGTGAATCGAAAGTGGAATACTTCAATTGTAACCGTGGGGGAGATTACGTGACAAAGGGAACAGGAAAAAGAAGATTAAAAAGCCAAGGTATAGGATGTGGTCTTTGTCAGACAGTAGACCATTTTCAAACGAATGAGCCAGGGGAGACGGTTACCGTCACTTTAAGAAGCTTTAGAAGCCCATACGGACAGCAAAGGTACTAAATATCAATACTCCTCTTTCTTACTAGGATCAAGCAAGATTAACAACAACTGCACAGCAACCATGACAGCTACCACAGCGAATGACGGCCACGTTGACGTTGACGTATGCTACACTCACTACGGACACGAACACGAACTTCAGCACATTCGAATTTCAAAGATCAAAAGGCGGGAGATTGCACTAAAGATCAGAGAAGGGATCAGCAGAGATCGTGTGCTTGATGAGATACGTGAAAGTGTTGCAGATGACTTGCATCGCCAACATCTGGTAGACAAAAAGGACATGTGTAACATTTCCACAGCGTATGGGTTGGACAACATTCGTCGTCACGGAAACGATCAGCAAAGCGTCCTGGCATGGATAAAAGAATGGGAGGAAAACGAAGAAACCAACCCCATTCTTTTTTACAAGTTACAAGGGGAAGAGGCACCAGACGGGGTAAACCTAGCCAACGACGATTTTTTCATTGCTGTGCAAACCCCGCTACAAAAGCATATGTTCCAAAAATTTGCTTCCAACGGCGTTTGTTGTGACACCACACATGGAACCAACGCGTACGACTTCTCTCTAGCAATAATCCTTGTTGCCGACGAGTTTGGGAAGGGATTTCCAACGGGGTGGTGTATCTCCAATCATGAGGACTTCACCGTGATGCACTTATTTTTCAGCATGATTCGAAAAAATTGTGGCGTTCAACACAGTGGGTTTTTCATGAGCGATATGGCACCTCAGTTTTTCAACGCATGGGTTGGTGTAATGGGGGAGCCTCGGCCGAAGAAGCTTGTATGCACGTGGCACGTGGATAAGGCTTGACGAACTGAATTAAAGAAAAAAATCGGAGAGACAGCAGTGGAAGCGGAAGTATACAAGATGCTTCGGATGGTCCTGGAACAAACAAACACAAGTCTGTTTCAAGATTGCGTCGATGCTCTTTTGTTGGATCTATCTTCAGATAAAAAGAAGAAAGATTTCCACGATTATTTCAAGCAGGAGTGGTTGCCAAATAAAGAACATTGGGCGTTTTGTTACAGGCTTGGGCTTGGAATCAACACCAATATGTTCGTCGAAGCATTCCACCGTGTATTCAAACGGAACTATCTCGGGGGGAAAGTCAATAAACGCGTGGATGTTTGTTTGCTGAATTTGCTGAAATTCGCACGTGATCAGTGTTTTGGCCGAATGATTCAACTAACGAAGGGGAAGGCGAGCTATCGAGTGAAGGCCATTCAAGAACGGCATAGGCGTGGCCTTGCTTTACCTCTGGAGAAAGTCGTACATGCGAATGAAAATGCATGGAAAGTGGAATCAAGCGACGGCAAGAACATCTACGAAGTTCAGCGTTTACGAGATAAATGTTCAGAAACGAAATGTCATCTTTCCTGCATTGAATGTGGCATATGTATTCATTGCTTCGTGTGTACTTGTCCAGACTCGCTTATTCTTCATACTATATGCAAGCACATTCATATTGTCCAACGAGCGCTGTCTTTTGCCAAAGACAACAGCATAGATTGCGAAGCTGTGATTTTGTAGATGACCTCGTTGATAACTGCAACAGCGAAGAAATCCAACGTCTAACGTGTTTTGCTCAAATGCCAAACGTCGCTGATGTCGAGAATATCCGTGCGCGAGTAAAAAGTCGGATCGCTGATATGCTTGCCGCTGTCGAGAAGAGTGCCAATCCAGCTAACATGTTGCAACTAGAGAAGACGTTAAATTCCTTGGTTAAATTCTTCTTACAGTCTTTTTCTTGCTACAGAAGAGGATGGTTCCTCACCCCAGTCCTTCTCACCAACCAACAATGCTCCTGCCAACAAAAATATGGAGGGCTTCGGTGGCCAAGTGGTTAGCGCACTTGCCTTTCACCTCTGAGTCTCACTAAGTACCCCCCAGTGCGACTCGAACCCAGTCCCCATGTGAAAAGAGTAAAAGTCAACGCTCTGCCGAAAGCCGTGGGTTTTCCCCGGGTACTCCGGTTTCCTCCCACAGGGAAAGTTGACAGGGTGGGTTAGGTAAAAAGGGCCCACAGTAATTGGCATATGCTGTTGTGGTGACCCTGCCCTAGTTGGCAAAGCTAAATAAATAAATAAATAAAGCTTGGTCTGCAGTGAAAAAATCAGGTACAGTATATTGTAATTGCATTAAATGTAGATTTTACACAGAGGAGTGGCGGGGGCCGAGCGCCTGCCCTGGTAAAATTTTGCCCCCCCCCCAATAAAAATTATTCTATAAAAATAAGTGAAACCAGCTGGCCTCATCTAAGCTTTTGCTGCCTCCCCCCCCCCGGACCAAACATCCTTGCTATGCCTCTGATATTACATACCAGTACTCAAGTGTCCATTTAAGTTTTAGAATACTACCAATTAGGGTTTCATTTTCTGATACTGTGAAGTTTTACCGAATTCTCATAAAAAATTCTATTAAAATTATTCTAAAAATGTACTTATTCATTGCAGTTTCTGATTTATATGAACAATGGAGATGCAAAGCTTGCTCTAAGGCCAAACACACAAACATGGTACAGTGTGATACATGCTTCAACTGGTTTCATTGGTGAGTATAAATCCACACATTTAGTGAATATAGAAATATTAAAATTGTGGTGACAGTCAATTATTTAATCAATTAATTATTTAATTAATTGATTCATTAAATAATTGATTAATTAAATAATTAATTAATTAAATGCAATTTTTTTATAATTGTATGGAAATTGGAAAGGTTAGAGTTGAGTATGAATTTTATTTTCCTTAACCATAGCCACAATGCGCCCCAGTGTGCCCTACTTATTTTTTTTACTTGTCTAACGCCAGACGATTTTACTTCTCAATGGGGAAGCTCTGCAGCTTAATGGGTTAACCAAAAAATCTGACAATGTCTCTAGTTAACCCATTGAGCCGCAATGCTCCCAGTGTATTCTCCTTTTTTCTTTGTCTAACGCCAGAAATTTTACTTGTCAATGGGAAAGCTCTGCAGATTAATAAGTTAAACTTGTCATAAGTGCCTTGTACTGTAAATAAAGAAAAAAGAGGACGGAGTTCCAGGTTATTCCAAAGACTAACTAAGGAAATTTATTTTCAGGCTTTGTGTTGGATACATTGACGAAGACAGCGATGATGAATCTGAATGCTGGAGTTGCAATACCTGCGTTAAGAAAACAAAGTACACATAAACAGGGGCAGGGCTACTCTGTAAAATATCAGGCAGTGCAAAGAAAATGTAATGCTGCTCTTTACCTAAATGTTTTTGTAAACCTTTGAATAGAATGTGTAGGAATTTGTGAGCATTGCATACATGCTGATCGATGCTGTGCTTGTTCCTAATTTTTTAAAATTGAAAGCCCCCCTCAAAAGAACAGGAATCCAATGGTTATCCCCCATTTAGTTGTATTTTTTTCTTTGAGTCCCCCTCCCATTGTCAAGTTAGTAAACTCACTCAGAATGGTGCAGCATAGACGTAACACTCAGAGTAACACCACAAATATCATAAGAATTTTCGTATTTACATTTCTACGGATTTTAAACAGCACACCGACACTTCTTTTGATATTTTTAGCAACGAGATGGATCTGAGTATTCCAACTCAGACTACAATCAAGGTAGATATACCAAGATATTTGATGTAGGATTGCTGCTTTATCACATTATCATTAATTTAAAGGCTTACAGTGTCAACACTTCTTTTTTGAGGCCGATGAAAAATAACTAAATTAGTTTTTTGAATATTTAAAGGATTAGTGTCACAACAGGAATTTGCGGGCTCAAACTCCTGCTGGCGGCCATTTTTCGGGACGAGTAGATTAGATGATCTGGAAAGTTTTTACAATCCGTTATATATTTAAACCATCCTTTTATAATCCTTGCTCTTTTTGTCTGATTTTTATCAGAAATTAACCAAACAAGGTATTTTTATCGCCATTTGTTGTATTTAAGTAAAATGTAAACAATAACAAAAGCCCGCAATGCATGACCCTGACACTAATCCTTTAATGATAATTTATTGGCACATAACCAGGTATGAAAATATGACCATGACATTTGCAACCAAATGTTAATCAGGCTTAAATAAATAAATCTCCCCACCAATTTTGACCCCCCCCCCTTCATTGTGACCCCCCTCATTGTAAAAATTGAATAGCCCCCCCCCCTTCAAGTACCTCATTTATTATGCCCCTTATTTTTCCCCTCCCTCCTTTCATAAATAATGACTGGTCTCCTATACTTCATTGAATCCAGGCTATTAAGTGCCGTATAATACTTTTGCACTCAAAAAATTGGTAACTTAACAAAAACATCAGGGCCTCTTTTAACATAAAAACTGGGGGGGACATGGCCCCCCCCAGCCCCCCTTACTGCCCCCCCAGTCGGCAATTTTGTCCCCCCCAGTAGAAAGTCCCTTTTCATTTTTTTTGGTGTGAAAATAACTCCCAAAGTCAATATTGGACAACATAATTAATCCTTATTCCAGTATTCCTTTCGCAGAATCTCTGCTATTCCTTTGCCTTCCCTTTCTGGACAATGAAAAATAGAAAAATAGTCAAATAGGAAATTTCGATCTGCAAAAAAAATATTTTTCAAAGTGGGACTGGGAACGAAAGTGGGAACATTGGGATTTTGGGGGAAATCTCGGGATATTCGGGAAGCTTAGTTGGGAATTTCAAAAACATAATTTACATCAAAATTTACATGCAAAGTGCTTGCCTTTGTTTGTACTATTAGTATTAAAAATGCCGTATGCAAATAAAAGAAAAGCGAATATTGAAAAACTGTTAAAACAAGAAGCGAGTAAATGCAAAAAGGTATCGGATTTCTTCACAAAGAACGAAAATGCAAGAACATCGTCATCGACATCGTGCGATACAAACGTTGAGAAAGAGTCAGAACAATTATTAAATATGGCGCCAATTGAAGTGGAAAGCGAAGTACAAGGCACTGCAGCTACTGGAGGCACTGACCAAGGAGAACCTCGTAAAGACAATGAACTGAATGAAGTGGATTTTGATATTCGAAATTCAGATAGGGAAGGTAATGTTCAATTTGTTCATACACGGGCTCCTTCGAATAATATTCCAAGCAATACTACACCTTCGACCTTATCGTCAACAAGCTCTGCAAATATAAACAGCATTACTTTGGTTACAACAAGTGACGTTGGTTTGCCAATAAGCACAGCAAACACATCGTCAACGCAAATGACTACTGAAACCACTACTGAGTATTACAGAGGCTACCCATTAAACCTAAAAGCACTTCTAGGAAAATTTGGAGATGGTGTACTATCTCAATATTATGAACGAAGTAGAGTTTCAACGCAGAATCGCCAGAGAGCTAGGGTTTTTGTCAAGTGTTGCATCTGTGGTGAATTCGAAGAGGAAGCAAAGCGCTTTTCAGCTAATGGTAGAGTGTACATGGCACAAGGTGTGCGTTGTGATGGGAAGAAAAAGATACAAGATGTAATTGATCATCTACTGGGGCCTTCACATAGAGCAGCTCAAGAAAAGAAACAGCTATCCAGGTGGTGGAATGCCAAAGACAAACGTCACCCATTTATTAACTTGGCAACAAAAAGTGATCCAACAGTTGTGAAGACCTTGACTGAAATGGCAGTAGAGGTCTATAATGACAGTAAATCTTTGACTTTAGCTGCCTGGTCATGGCCAGGTAGATCTCTTGCTAATTTACATGCACAACAACAGTTTAGGTCTTTAACTGACAGTGACAACGTACAAAGTTTTACCCCGTTTAAACCAAGTGGAGAGGAACTTCATTATAGGGATCCAATGCATTATGCAGAAATGTTGGAGATAATAGGAGATACAGAGAGAAGCACCTTAGAGAAGAACTCCAGAACTGTATTTGTTTTGCTGCACAAATGGATGGTTCTGTCGATGCTAGGCAACAAGATAAGAAATTTATATTTGTTCGATTCAATACACCCGAGGACCCTCTTTCTATTAAGACAAGATTTGCAAGTGCAAGGGAAAGTACCTAGCGTGGTGCTGAAGGTTTGTGTTCTGCCATGACAAACTGTTTTGATGACATGGGCCTTTCTAAAGAATGTTTGCAGTCAAAATTTGTTGGGATGAGCACCGATGGAGAGTCTGCAAACACTGGTAAGGATTCTGGACTGTGGGCTAGAGTTGAAAATTATGTTGGTCGTTCAACAAGAAATATCTGGTGTGCATGTCACCGATCAGACTTAGCAATGGAAGATGTGATGAGGTAATAATAATAATAAATTAATAATAATAAAATAATGATTACAATATTTCATTAGGAAGTCCACTCACAAAAGAGATTTTAAGTGAAGCCCTGAGCAAAAAAAGATAAAAAAATAAATTATAAGGCTATATTAATGTTAACATTTATAATGTCTTAGGTTGGTACCTGAACTGAAAATCTGGCTTTCCAATGTAACGGGAGTAGCTACTTATTACCGCACATCAGGACTAAGGAGTTGAAGACCATAAAACCAGACATGAGAAGTTTTCCTCCTCATCATGAGGTAAGGTTTGCTCAACATCTTGTTCAACTTTGTGGAGCGATACTATTCAATTTAGATGGATGTTTAAAGCACTGGCAAAAGATTTGTGATGCTCCTCGAGAATATAATACCAAGGAGGTATCGTCTGCAAAAGGATTTTTAAAGTTGTGGCAACCAACAGGAGTGCAAGCATGGCTAACTGCTGTTATGGTGGACACATGCTGTATCTTCAGATATATTGAAAAAGAAGCCCAGAAGCCTGGCATTATCATTCCTGATATCTTGAAGTACAGAGATACTGCCTTGCAAAAACTTGATATAATGCAAACAGAGCCATATCCAGGTAAAATATATATAGTTAGTAAGTTACTTTGTTTATAGAAAACAAATTGAACTCACTCTTATTTGAGTTCTTTAACAAAGGTGTATTATTCATTACATTGTATGTTATTTTACTGCACATAGGTGGGCAGGAGGAGTTATTAACAAAGAAGATTGCAGAACTGCATCCAGAGAATGATGAAGCAGTGGATAATACACCAAGAAGGACACACAACACCAATGTGACAACGTTTCGTAGAGGAAAACAACCTATCAGGCAAGAGGTTATTGATTCTTCAAGGAATTTTCTCCAGGTAAAATGAGATAAATAACTAATCTCATATCTGTTTAGCAATCAGGTCACACCATATAAAGTTTTTAATTACTATTACCTATATTTTTTATGTATATCATTATCATGTTTAGACCAGGCTCAACGAGGAACAAACAGAAATTGTAACAACCATTATCAACTTGACCTCAGCAAAACGTGCAATTGAATTCATCAACATTGCATTACCTCAACTTGAATCAAGTGGAATCACTGATAAACAAGCATTTATTGATGCAGTTTTAGAAAATTTTACGGAAATGCTTCCTGATACACATATTCCTGCAAGAGACTATGGTGTGAGACTCTAGCAAATGCTAAGGGGCAGCAAACAACCTGTGACCAAGTTTTTGTCAGGTTTTTGTGTTCTCTGCCCTCACAGTATGACGGTGGAAAGATGTGTGTCAACGTACAACATGTTATTCTCCAACCTGAGAATGGCCACATCTGAAAAAACACTGAATGATAGGCTATTGATTCACTGGAATGGAGTGCCAACATCTCAGTTTGACCCCAGTCCTATGGTGCAAGAATTTCTACAGAAAAAACAGAGGCGAATGAATCTTCCTAATCTGAGTTCATATGCGGAACGTGACTTCGTAAAGAAGTTTTTTACATCGGACTGCTGATTGATAGATTACCTGTATATAGTGGTATACTGTATAGATGAGTTTCACTAGCTGCCTGGCAATTATATATAAGTGAGAAAAAGGTGTGTTGACAACTTGACATTATTTTCTAAATTTGACCATCATCTGCTGCCCTAGAGCGAAACCCATATTTAAGCTAGTAGCCGCAATTTTATAGACTTTAGTAGATTTTTTTCAGGTCCCTTTTTACGTTATTTTTGGTCCCTTGGGAAAGATGTCCCACCCAGTTACATATCCTTAAAAGAGGCCCTGTATTAAGTGTTAATTTATTCGCTGTTAGCCATTCATGAACATCAGCGATTGATACACCGGGTGGAAAGCGTAATTTAAAAATGAAAATTAAAGCCCAGCAAATGACTTTCAGACAAGACATAACAAAAATATAAAATTTATTGGCTAACGTTTCGTTGTATTGTTCACAGTCGCGTCGATCCTGAGCGATCGACGGCTATAAATTTCATACCTTCGGTTCAGTGCATGCTATGAAGACAGAAATACCACCAATCGATTCAGAAATAAAAGATCTACTAGTTCCAAACGATAGTTATAGTCATTATTAACATTGTAACGATTTATGGGCCTTTGAAAGTCAAAAGTCATTGTATCAAATTACGCAATTGTCTGAACAAAATATAGACTAGCCATACCTTTCGCTGAAACTAACTTCGGCCCCTTCGCACATATCGTCTTTGTAATAGTCTTGTTCGAATCCCCATCAAAAACACTATTTAGAGTGTTATTTGCAAGCCTGTATCTTCAAATCTGTATCTTTTATCAATATATTTCCATTTCTTGTACTAAAATGCGGTGCCCTCTGTGCTTGCACTTGCAAGGATGTTTCCCTGCAGCAACGAAATATTGATCTTTGCAAGGAAATATACTAAAATTAAAGGAAATTGCAAGGATTTCGAATTCTAAAACCACTAAAACCAGTCGATTAAAATAAACTTAATATAAATTGTATACGCCTAACGAAAAAGGTACATAAGAACCGGAGAATGCCATTTCTGGCGATCTAGAGACTATAAATTTCAAAATTTGTCATTCAGCGCCTTCTGCCATTTGACCACTCCATAATTATCAAACACCCTACGCCCCTGGATGAACATAAATATATATGTGGAGCAGATACTTTCATGAAGGGAGCTCTTGAAAGCTTGCCCAAATTTTCAGGTAAATGAGGCATTGTAATGACCTTTACATGACCTATAGCCTATGCCAACTAGCCTCTCCACAGTGATTTCTCGTAGGGTCTATATCATAGATATCTTATATACACTAGATAGCGCATCTCTTTTAGTAAAATTGAAGCCAAGAATATTTCAGCGGTTACCCCCATTTGAATAGATGGCGGCCATGTTGGTCGTTCCCACTCGCTAATAAACGCTTAAAAACAACAATAACTTTCATCATTTGAATAGTTTAAAAACGTATTTGGAATAGGGTTAACTTAATGTTTAAGTTCCCTGTTTAAGAAATAGAAAACATACGAATCTCCTCATTTCATGGGAACGACCTGAGACTGCAATCACAGCTTCAAGCTTGGAGCGTTCCCAGGTAAAAGGCTCGTAATTTTTCGTATAATTTTTTCTTTATTTCTTTTTGCCATTATTTTTCTAAAAAAGTCTCTAAATCGCTCATCCTAACAGCTGAATATTCATATTGTTTTGAACCTTTCTTTATCGATCTATAACGAAAAATTTTTTTCGATTTGCTCGAAATTTTCTAAGTCAAACTTTGCTCGAAATTTTCTAAGACAACACGGCTAAGAATTCATTTGCATACGGCTTGTACTCAGAAAATCATCTCAAAATTCGCTTTAAAATTCTCCTGCGCCAGAACGTTCTGGATCAATATGTGTTTTGAACCTTTCTTAATCGATCTTTTACAAAAAAAAATTAATTGTCGATTTGCCTGAAGTTTTCTCAGACGGATAACGACTAAGCGTAGTAGAAATAGAGAATAATACATGGGTGCGCGGAAATACCAGATTTATTTCGAGTGTTGAACATGATATCTCACGAGTGAGCTAGCGCAGCGAACGAGTGAGTTATCATGTTCAACACGCGAATTAAATCTGGTATTTCCAAGCACCCATGTATTTTTCTGTTTATTATATAAAGAACAGTCTTTGAAAAGCGATAATTTTTACAGAAAAGCGATAATTGAAAAGCGATATAAAAGTCTCGTAAATTTTGGTATAATTATTGTTTATTTCTTTTTGCCATATTTTTTCCAAAAGTTTCCAAATCGCTCCTCATAACAGCTTAATACTCATATTTTGATAATCCTTTGTATATTTAGACAATTTTGAGTCGATTTAACAGAACAACCCGATCAAGAGAATTCTTATGCAGGGTGAAATCGAAAAACACTAACTACAGTACAGCAATAAACAGTGGTAACACCGAGGCCGTCATGGGCGAATGTTGTGGACCATTCCCAGGTAAAAGTCTCGTAACTTTTCGTATAATTTTGTGTCCATTTAACCAAGGATGACGAGGGATGAACAAGGATGTAGATCGCTGATGAGAATTCCTCTCTAGGGTGAAATGCAAAAAATCTACATACAGCTATTACAACGCAAAACAGAGAATATTGAAGAATTGTAATATGTTAGCTGTTCACATCGTTGCCATCATGGTATAGTGGTTTACACCGAGGCCATCATGGGCGAAAGTTGTGGACCATTCCGAGGTAAAAGTCATGTAACTTTTCGTATAATTTTTTCTTTATTTTTTTCTTCCCATTATTTTCCCAAAAGTCTTCAAATCGTTCCTCATAACAGCTTAACACTCATATTTTGATAATCTTTTGTATATTTAGACAATCGTGAGTCGATTTAACTGAACAAACCGATCAAGAGAATTCTTATGCCGTGTGAAATCGAAAAAACACTCTACAATACAGCAATAAACACAATATTGAAGTAACGTAATTTGTTACCTGTTTCCAACGTTGACATCATGGTATAGTGGTAAACACGGAGGCCATCATGAGCGAAAGTTGTGGACCATTCCCAGGTAAAAGTCTCGTAACTTTTCTTTATTTTTTTTTGCCATTATTTTTTCCAAATGTCTTCAAATCGTTCCACATAACAGCTTATTACTAATATTTTGATAATATTTTGTATATTTAGATAATTTTGAGTCGATTTAACCAACGATGACGAGGGCATGAACAACGATGTATAGCGATGAAGAGAATCTTATGTAGGGTGAAATCTAAAAAAATCTACATACAGCTAGTACAACGGAAAATAGAATATTGAAGTATTGCATGACTATTGTAATTTGTTACCATTTATATCGTTGACATCATGGTATTGTGGTAAACACCGAGGCCATCATGAGCGAAAGTTGTGGACCATTCCCAGGTAAATTCCCGTAACTTTTCGTATAATTTTTTCTTCATTTCTTTTTGTCTTTATTTTTTCAAAAAGTCGCCAAATCGCTCCTCATAACAGTTAATACTCATATTTTGATAATCTTTAGACAATTTTGAGTCGATTTAAATGAACAACCCGATCAAGAGAATTCTTATGCGGGGTGAAATCGAAAAACACTATCTACAGTACAGGAATAAACACAATATTGAAGTAATATAATTTGTAACATGTTTCCATCGTTGACATCATGGTGTAGTGGTAAACACTGAGGCCATCATGGGCGAAAGTTGTGGAAGAGAATCTTATGTAGGGTGAAATCCAAAAAATCTACATACTGCTAGTACAACGGAAAATAGAATATTGAAATATTGGCTATTGTGCTTTGTTACCCGTTTCATCGTTGACATCGTGGTATAGTGGTAAACACCGAGGCCATCATGAGCGAAGGTTGTGGACCATTCCCAGGAAAAAGTTTCGTAACTTTTCGTATAATTTTTTCTTTATTTCTTTTTGCCATTATTTTTCCCAAAAGTCTTCAAATCGTTCCTCATAACAGCCTAATACTCATATTTTGATAACATTTTGAATATTTGGACAAGTTTGAGTCGATTTAACTGAACAACCCGATCAAGAGAATTCTTATCCAGGGTGAAATCGAAAAACACTAACTACAGTACAGCAATAAACAGTGGTAACACCGAAGCCGTCATGGGCGAATGTTGTGGACCATTCCCAGGTAAAAGTCTCGTAACTTTTCGTATAATTTTTTCTTTCTTTTTTTTCCATTATTTTTTTCAAAAGTCTTCAAATCGCTCCTCATTACAGCTTAATACTCATGTTTTAGTAATATTTTGTATATTAGGACAATTTTGTGTCCATTTAACCAAGGATGGCGAGAGATGAACAAGGCTGTAGAGCGCTGATGAGAATTCCTCTCTAGGGTGAAATCCAAAAAATCTACATACAGCTATTACAACGCAAAACAGAGAATATTAAGGAATTGTAATATGTCAGCTGTTCACATCGTTGCCATCATGGTATAGTGCTAAAGACTGAGGCCATCATGAGCGAAAGTTGTGGACCGTTCCCAGGTAAAACCTCGTAACTTTTCGTATAATTTTTTCTTTATTTCTTTTTACCATTATTTTTCCAAAACCCTCTAAATTGCACCTCCTAACAGCTGACTATTCATATTTTGATAATTTTTTGTATGCTAGGACAATTTTGAGTCGATTTAACCAAGGATGACGAGGGATGAACAAGGATGTAGAGCGCTGAAGATAATTCTTCTCTAGGGTGAAATCGAAAAAATCTACATACAGCTAGACTAAGTACAACCTGCAATTTTTTAGCTGTTTACATCGTTGCCATCATGGTATAGTGGTAAAGACTGAGGCCATCATGAGCGAAAGTTGTGGACCGTTCCCAGGCAAACCTCTCGCAACTTTTCGTATATTTTTTTCTTTATTTCTTTTTGCCATTATTTTTCCAAAAACTCTCTAAATCGCACCTCCTAACAGCTGAATACTCATATTTTGATAATTTTTTGTATGCTAGGACAATTTTGAGTCGATTTAACCAAGGATGACGAGGGATGAACAAGGATGTAGAGCGCTGAAGATAATTCTTCTCTAGGGTGAAATCGAAAAAATCTACATACAGCTAGACTAAGTACAACCTGCAATTTTTTAGCTGTTTACATCGTTGCCATCATGGTATAGTGGTAAAGACTGAGGCCATCATGAGCGAAAGTTGTGGACCGTTCCCAGGCAAACCTCTCGCAACTTTTCGTATATTTTTTTCTTTATTTCTTTTTGCCATTATTTTTCCAAAAACTCTCTAAATCGCACCTCCTAACAGCTGAATACTCATATTTTGATAATTTTTTGTATGCTAGGACAATTTTGAGTCGATTTAACCAAGGATGACGAGGGATGAACAAGGATGTAGAGCGCTCAAGAGAATTCTTCTGTAGGGTGAAATCGAAAAAATCTACATACAGCAATTCCAAGCAAAACAGAGAATATTGAAGAATTGTAATATGTTAGTTGTTTCCATCGTTGCCATCATGGTATAGTGGTAAAGACTGAGGCCATCATGAGCGAAAGTTGTGCACCGTTCCCAGGTAAAACTCTCGTAACTTTTCGTATAATTTTTTCTTTATTTCTTTTTGCCATTATTTTTCCAAAAAGTCTCTAAATCGCCGCTCCTAACAGCTGAATACTCATATTTTGATAATTTTTTGTATATTAGGACAATTTTGAGTCGATTTAACCAAGGATTACGATGGATGAACAAGGATGTAGAGCGCTGAAGAGAATTCTTCTGTAGGGTGAAATCGAGAAAATCTACATACAGATAGTACAACGCAAAACAGAGAATATGGATGAATTGTAATATACTAGCTGTTTACATCGTTGCTGTCATGGTATAGTGGTAAAGACTGAGGCCATGATGAGCGAAAGTTGTGGACCGTTCCCAGGTAGAACTCTCGTAACTTTTCGTATAATTTTTTCTTTATTTCTTTTTGCAATTATTTTTCCAAAAAGTCTCTAAATCGCCCCTCCTAACAACTGAATATTCATATTTTGATTATTTTTTGTATATTAGGACAATTTTGAGTCGATTTAACCAAGGATGACAAGGGATGAACAAGGATGTAGAGCGCTCAAGAGAATTCTTCTGTAGGGTGAAATCGAAAAAATCTACATACAGCAATTCCAAGCAAAACAGAGAATATTGAAGAATTGTAATATGTTAGTTGTTTCCATCGTTGCCATCATGGTATAGTGGTAAAGACTGAGGCCATCATGAGCGAAAGTTGTGCACCGTTCCCAGGTAAAACTCTCGTAACTTTTCGTATAATTTTTTCTTTATTTCTTTTTGCCATTATTTTTCCAAAAAGTCTCTAAATCGCCGCTCCTAACAGCTGAATACTCATATTTTGATAATTTTTTGTATATTAGGACAATTTTGAGTCGATTTAACCAAGGATTACGATGGATGAACAAGGATGTAGAGCGCTGAAGAGAATTCTTCTGTAGGGTGAAATCGAGAAAATCTACATACAGATAGTACAACGCAAAACAGAGAATATGGATGAATTGTAATATACTAGCTGTTTACATCGTTGCTGTCATGGT